CACAGACAGAGAGACAGACAGAGAGAGAAAAATATATATATTTTTTTTTTTTTTATATGCATAAATACGGTCAGAGGGAGATAGAGAGAGATAGAGATAGAGAGAGAGAGATAGAGAGAGATAGAGAGATAGAGAGACAAATACACACAGACACTGTGCGTGCGTGCGTGCGTGCGTACATTTATTTATACACACACACTCAGACATATATATATATATATATATATATATATATATATATATATATATATATATATATATATATATATATATATATATATATATATATATATATATATATATAGTGACTTGGGATCCTTTGATTGGAGGATCATGATTAGCTAATGTGGACTAACTGGGTTAATCATGAGCACATGCTCCTCTTGAAATTAGTTTAAAATTAAACTTCACTTATCACCGTGAACCGGTCAGTGCTTGTCAATTTTAACTGTGTATCGGAAAAACCTGTACAAGGGGATTGGATATACATAGATTGCATATGTAGGCGACCATTTATCATTTTCTCAGAGGATGTCAAGCTGATGAAACATTGCTGCAGCTCTGATACAAGTTTTATTCATGGAGAAAGTGAAAAAGCACTGCAGTGTTTGGGTGTTCTGTGTTTGTCTGAGATAATAAGTCTACCGAAATATGTATATTCTTATATACTCTAGCTTATTTGTGGGCAGCTAGCTCCCTGCAACTTTTACATGGTCAACCACTAAAGCCGAGCAGGGCTGCGCCCGGTCAGTACCTGGATGGAAGACCACATGGGAAAGCTAGGTGACTGTCGGAAGTGATGTTAGTGAGACCAGCAAGTAGTGGACGCTCAACTGAATTTGATTTTTTTTTTCTTTTTTTAATATTTCCCAAATGATGTTTAGCAGAGCAAAGAAATGTTCACAGTATGTCTGATAATATTTTTTTCTTCTGGAGAAACTCTTATTTGTTTTATTTCGGCTACAATAAAAGCAGTTATTAATTTTTTATGAACCATTTTAAGGTCAATATTATATGCCCATTTAAGCAATTGTTTTCCCCCGACTGTCTACAGAACAAATTGTCGTTGTACAATAACTTGCCTAATTACCATAACCTGCCTAGTTAACCCAATTAACCTAGTTAAGCCTTTAAGTGTCACTTGAAGCTGTATAGATGTGTCTTTAAAAATATCAGTTACTAGAGATGTGTTATTAGAACTCATAATGTTTAGAAGTGCGTTGAAGAAATCTCTCCGTTAAATTGGGGAAAAAAATAAACAAGGGGGCTAATAATTCTGACTTCAGCTGTATTACCAATGAGCCTGTGTTATGTCTATGTGATGTCCATTGTGTTACGCCGAGAGCTGAACTGCACTGTACCTTACTCTGTAAGCCAGCTAGTTATGTGTCATTTCAGCCTGATCTCACGAGAAAACGTAAGTATTTTACGTTTTGCCAGTTTAGTGGCTAATT